ACTGAAATGTTTTGCTGAGTCATCACTGTGGCTCTAAATTTGTCTGCGTGTTTTTCAGTGTGGGCTACATTCTGAATGTGACCAGAGAGATTGACAACTTCTTCCCAGAGTCCTTCACTTACATGAACATCAGAGTGTACGATGTAGAAGCCACTGACCTGCTCTCCCATTGGCCAAACACGTACAACTTCATCAACACTGCAAGGTAGTCCTGAAACCCCAGACACATCAGATAACAGAAATCCAAACTTGTGAAAAGGCATTCCCCAGTCTTTTGCAGGTTACACTTTGGTTTATTTAAGGATTAAACAAATGAGCTGTAACCTTTTGTTTTATTTTTACCCTCAAAGCAGAAGCAAATCTTTCCCGGAAAGCGAATAAGCACATTTCTCACAGTGTTGCACTGTTTCTTTAATCGTAGTTTGTTCATTGCTTGTCATCACCAAAATTGGTGGTTTTGAGTTGCACGGTGACTTATAGTTTCACAGAGTTTAAGATGTGTGAATGATAACTGGAAACTGAATTCTTGACTGCATAGTCCAAAGAGTGTAATAAATGGTGCTTCTGTATTGTTCAGTTGCACTTCAAAGGGAAACTCTGAGAGAAGTCCAGGTAATCTTAGTTGAAATTTAACTAACTGGACAGCCAGTTAGTATTTTGAATTTGTCAGAGCTGCCACCTATTAACTACTGAGTGTTTTTAAATATATTGCACATCAGCGCCGGTGACCACCTCAGCGGGTTCGCTCCAGTTGGAGGTCTGGTCACATCCCACCATCATTGTTTCAGTATTTTTTTAAGCAAAATCCCTACACCCCTGAGGTAGCTTCCTTTTATCTCTGTGTGTTGCAGAAAGAGCGGACAGTCGGTGTTGGTCCACTGTAAGATGGGCATTTCTCGCTCTGCGTCTACGGTGATCGCCTACGCCATGAAGCAGCAGCAGTGGACACTGGATGCAGCGTTGGCCTACGTCAGAGAACGCCGGTCCATTATTAAACCCAACGAAGGCTTCATGAAGCAGCTCCACACCTACAACGGAATCCTCAGTGCAAGGTCAGGCGTGCTGTTAGACTTGATGCCATGTGAAGATTTCACTTCCAAACATTTTTTGAGTTTGCTCCAGTTTGTTTTTTTTTTTTTGTTTTCTTTTTTCTTTAATGCTGATTTATGGGCTCATGTGAGGACTGTTCTGTCTATTCATTCATCATTCAAGCAAGCAGCGTCACAGCACACTCTGGAGGCGAAAGTCAAGAGACAACAGACAAAAGTCAGTGTGCAAGGAGAAGGGAGAGAGGAAAGAAAAGCAAGAGGAGGATGAGGGACTTGATGACGATGAGGAGGATGCAGAGAGTCCAGATGAAAAAGATTTAGGGAGCCCAGATGAAAAAGACTACTCTGATGAAGAAACAGAGGTATTGGTTCCAACAATGATGTGTTATTAGCATTTTAATTCCTGCAATTTTTTTTTTTTAAATCTTCATGGTTTCGACTCTTTTCAAACACACCCAGGTGTTTGAAGACCATGGCCCTACGCCTGATACCATCCAGGAACTGGAGCAGACAGAACCATCAGGCGCCAGTCCCGTTATAACCATAAACGAGCCAGACAAGGTGTGCAGACTAACACACGTGCTGCATTTCAAGTGGTTCTCCAAGTGTTAATCGCAGTGGGAGGATGAACCTTTTCTCCCTCATGCAGTCTATCAGTGAACAAAATGAGGACAATAAAGAATGGGATCAGGTAAATAAAGCCAAATGCCAAGAGGAAACAGTGTGTTGTTGCTTAGAGACAAATGGATGATGTACTAAGAAATTTACTCTGGAAAGAGGTGCGAGAAATGTAGACCAAAAGCTTTATGTAACTAATTGCACTCAGTTAATTTCACTAATAGTTAATAGTAACTAATATTTCAGTTTTCATTTACAACAGAAAAACAGCAAATTGTCACATTTGAAAAGCTCAAACCAGATATTAGAGATTTTTCTGTGGAAAACTGACTGAAATGGTTACTGGATTATCAGTGTGTGGATTCATTTTCTGCCAGTCATCTAATTGATTAATCTAGTGCAACTGTAGTGCCAATGCTCATTTTCAGCTCATTAATTAAATACCGTCCAATTTGTTCTTCTCAAAGCTGCCTGGCAGTCCAAGGCGGTCCCCAGGGCAGGGCAGGCGAAGCCACGTGCGACGGGGTCTGATTCACCAGAGAGAATGTGTGGACGTTTCCCCGGAACCACGCAGCCTACCAGACACCAGTCAAAGCAAGCCTTGAACAGAGGGAAGACACAGACGAGCAGAGAGCTACAGGAGAGACAAGGACCAACAGTGGCTTCAGAAACTGTTCAGACCTCTTCACTATTTGCACTTTTTTATGTAGTGGATTTAAATCTAGATGGGTAAAACTGCTATTTTTCCTCATCAGTCTAGACTCAAGGACAATCAGAGACATGTCCTGCAGCCAAACCAGAGTTGTCTTGAGTATGCTTTGGAAATTTTTGTTGTGAAATGTCACATGCACTCTAGAGCAAGTTTCCTCCAGGACAGCTCTGTATCCTTCCCTCCCCTCCTGACCATTGTCCCTGGGGCATTCACTTTGTCATTATGGGTCATGGAGAGCAGACCGATGGGGAAAAATGGTCATTTCATCCGTTCTCAAATTAAAGCTGCAACTAGTAGAGTCTGCAAAAAGTTAAGGGGTCTAAATATTTTATGAAGTCTGAATATTTTATGAAGTCTGAAGCCACTGTATAAAGGAGTCAAAGCCCGGTGGGGGAAAAAAAACATCTTGAAGGAGGCAACACCTGAAGAAAAGGATGCTCTGGTGCCATGCCAAGGTTTTTATGCACTCTGGCTCAGCTTTATATTTTAATTTAGTTGTTGAACATTTAAATTTATTTTTTCAGGTCTTTCATTGCATACCTCTACGTAATTATGATGAGTCACTCATGAAAAAGGATCTTGTCACAGTATTGCTGTACCAGTGAAAGCCAGTATATGTGATCGCTGAAATCCTTGTTGTATTATGGTTTATGCTGGTATTTTAGAAGTTACCCTACCACATACAGACATCCTGAACTACATACCAGGTCTCTTATAAGCACAGTCTTTTCCTCGTCTTAGTCCCGTGAGAGATGCAAGGAGAAAGGACTCAAGGAACCATTATTAGCAACATACATCCTTTCCTCAGATCATTCATCTGAAGCGTCTAATCACCAACTAATTTCTGATAAAAAGGCATATCAGTTCGCAAAAAACTTCCGTGAGGGATGTTCTCGTGTTTCCTCAGTCTGATATAAGAGACTTAGAACATCCTACGTCCCTGGTTGACCGAGGATGCAGGAACGATCTTATAAGAGACATGAGATGTACCCCTGGTCTGTCCTTCCTCGTAGGGTCCCATCTGTCCACAGCTCCCTTGTTCCTTCTTCCCTTTTCAGCTGTTGTATCACCGCTCAGAGATTGTCTATGCAATTACTGTTTTC